AAAAAAAAAAAAAGAAATGTCCAGATTCTTGATGCTCCTTCCCCTCTACCTGAGACGTATGAAATCAGAAACTCTGGAGTGAGACCTGGTAATCTGTATTTTCCTAAGCCTTCCAGCGATACTGATGTGTGCTTAAGTTTGAGAATCCTGTTCTCAGTGTTTACTATTGGAGAAATAAACAGAATGACTGGGAGAGGTTTGAGAGGAAGTGACCCTCTTGCTGGGCAGTAGAGAGTGAAGGGGTCAGATCTGGAAAACAGACAAAAGAGGACATTTCACTGTATAGATCCATGACCCTCAAAAGCTGGGAGCTTGTTAGAAATGCAGAATCTGGGACCCCACCCCAGACCAGCTGAATCAGAATCTATATTTTAACAATATCTCCACATTATTTGTATGTACATTGAAGTTCGAGTGAGACACTCTGGTATAGAGTATGTACTCCAATTATAAAAATCAAAGATACAAAACCAAAAAATGGCCATGTTAGGAAGGAGACTGTGGAGATATGGTTCTGCTCTTTCAGCTGGTGTCCTCAAAGCCATGTTTCCTCTGGTTCAAGGAGAGTGAGACCCGTGTGCACAGAGCTGCTTATCTGCATTGGGATCCCAGACAAGTCCAACTATCCCTGAGTGACACAGTTCTATATGATTCAAGAGCAAGGGCTCCTCAACCCTCAGGGCACAGTCACACAAACTGGGAACTTTTATGGCCAGGCCACCCTCCAGAAGGGACGACCATCCAGGCATTCACGTTTTACAAAATCTCTCCGGGCAATTCTAATCGGCAGCCAAAGTTGAAAACCATTGCTGCACATCTTGGGTCCTCCATGTTTCCATGTTCCACTCAAGGTAAAAGTGAGCTCAATGTCTAGTAGTTGCCATTAAAAACACAAAATTAAGTTTCAGGGCACAGGCTCACTGTTCCAACATCTGGATTCCCAAAATAGTTGCAAGGAGGACCTGGAGAGCTGTTCCTAGTAAAGTTGTTGAGTATCCTGGAATTTTTTGAAATCAAGTTCTCCAGGGATGCTGGTAGTAGGAGACTAGCTCTGATATTGCCCTGAACTTGGAAATAGGTAACTTGGCTTTTCTGCAGACTATGCTCAGGTAGATTGATGTCCTTGTCTGTTTGTATGTAGAGCTAATGTTTTGTGGAGACCTAACAGTACAAATAGTTGAAGTTCTGGGAGGCAGAGAGAACTGATTGTCCTTGCTATCTGGAGTTAATAGAGGATGTTTCAGAGAAGGTGTGCTCTCACCCACTCCTGGGTAGAGTTACATTTGTATAGGCAGAAAACTGAAGAACAGATGTCATGGCAGAGAGCTGCCCGAGAATGTCCACCCAGGATGTTTATGAGACAGTGTAGAGAGCAGTCAACCCAAGTGGCCCCGTGCACTGAGATACATCACACTTTGGGGTGGATAGGGCAAGGCTGTAGAGTAGCAAAGAGTCTTCAGTGGCAAGGTGACAGTATAATTTATCTTGTATATTTTATTTTATTTTTTTTTTTTTT